CTCAACCTCCCAACCGCGTAGGCGATATCCGGACGAGTGCTTGTCATGGCATACATCAAGCATCCTATAGCTTGAGAGTATTCTAATTGTGATATTGCCTTGCCTTTGTTTGGCATTAATTTGACACTAGGGTCCATGGGAGTACTCACGGGAGAACATTCACTATAATTAAATTTCTTGAGAATTTTCTCAACATAGTGTGCTTGCGTCATAGCAATTCCTTTGTTCAACCGCTTAATCCTAATACCAAGGATTACATCAGCCTCCCCCATATCTTTCATGGAAAACCTTGATGACAATAAACTTTTCGTTTCATCAACTTGAAGTTGATCAGTGCCAAAAATCAGCATGTCATCAACATATAGGCAAATTATCACACCACACCCGGTTGAATCAAACCGACTGTAAACACATTTATCAGATTGGTTTAGCTTAAAACCACTTGATAAAATAACTTCATCAAACTTTTGATGCCATTGTTTTGGTGCTTGTTTCAGACCATACAAGGATTTGACAAGTTTACACACTTTATGCTCATTACCGGGCATAACAAAACCTTCTGGTTGGTTCATGTAAATTTCCTCATCAAGCTCTCCATTTAAGAAGGCTGTTTTGACATCCATTTGATGGACAACCAGATTGTGGATGGCTGCCAAAGCAACCAACAATCTAATGGTAGATATCCGAGCCACTGGTGCATATGTGTCAAAATAATCAATACCTGGTTTTTGTTTAAACCCTTGTATTACCAAACGTGCTTTGAACTTATCTATAGTTCCATCTACCTTCATCTTCTTTTTGAAGATCCATTTGCAACCCAAAGGTTTAGAACCTGGTGGCAAATCACATAGCACCCATGTATTGTTTTCTAAAATTGATGATAATTCATCATCAATTGCCTCTTTCCAAAAGGTCACATCTCGGGATTCCATGGCCTCTTTAAAGGTCTTTGGATCTCCTTCAATACTGTAACAATACGAGTATTGAAATCCAACCTCATCCCTTGATCCTTCCACCAAATACAGCTGGAAATCGGAGCCAAAATTTTTAGCAATTCGAGCCCGTTTGCTCCTCCTGACCTCTTGGGGTTCCGGATCTGATATACCTTCTAAAGTTTCTGAAATATGTCCTTCATTACTGTTAGAAATCAGATCCTTAGGCCTTGGGATTGATGAAAAACGCATTTCATCAAAAATCGCATCTCGCGACTCAATCACGGTATGTACAGAAACCGAATTATTAGGATCTATAACATAGAACCTATATGCCTTGGAATTTTCAGCATATCCTATGAAAATGCAGTCAATTCCCCTTTCTCCCAAAGTATTTATTTTGGGATTGGTTAGTTTGACAACTGCCCGACAGCCCCAAATTCTGAGGTAACTCAAATTTGGAGACTTTTTGAACCATAATTCATATGGGGTTTTCTTGTTCCTTTTATTTGGAACCCTATTCAAGACATAACATGCGGTAAGCATTGCCTCCCCCCAAAAACCCTTACTCAAGCCTGAGTAAGACAACATCGAGTTGACCATTTCTTTTAAAACTCGAATTTTCCTTTCGGCAACACCATTCTGTTGTGGTGTATATGGTGCCGTGGTCTCATGGATGATACCAACTGATTGGAAATATTGGGTATCCATATATTCCCCTCCCCGATCAGTTCTAAGACATTTAACCGGATTGCTTAATTGCAATTCCACCTCGGTTTTGTATATTTTGAATTTTTGTAAGGCTTCATCCTTAGAATGCAACAAATACACATAGCAAAACCGAGTTGAATCATCAATAAAAGTTACGACATAATTTTTGTTGCCAAGTGAGGGAGTTGAATGAAAATCACAAAGATCACTATGAATCAATTCCAAAATTCCAGAATTTCGATTAATATTTTGAAAAGGTTGTCTTGTGATTTTGGTCAACATGCAAGTTTTACATTTTTCTGTATTGATATCAAAGGCAGGAATTGATCCATCTTTTGACATTTCGTGCATTCTTCTAAAATTAACGTGACCTAAACGAGCATGCCATAGCATGGCATTATCAATTGAAGAAGTAAATGATGCAGATGATACAAACACAGAATTTCCAACAGAAGATAAAGTATCAACCAAATTCAAGCAAAACATACGATTAGTAAAATAACCAAAACCAACAAACGTGCCAAATCGAGATAAAATAAATTTATCCGATTCAAAGACTTGCTTAAAGCCATCAGAATTTAAACAACCACCACTAACAAGGTTCTTACTAAGCCTAGGAACAAATAAAACATCAGACAACTTTATTGTTTTTCCCGAAGTAAACGTAAGACTAACAACTCCAAAACCACAAATTGGTTGACTCGACTTATCACCCATCATCACCGTGGAACCATCATCAACTGGTGTCAATTTCTCGAACCATCGACGATCTTTACACATATGACTTGTGGCACCCGAGTCAACCCACCATGTACGGTCATCATCCTGTACATAAAAAGAACCAGGAATTAGTGAACAATAATTCTGAGTAGAATTATAAAGAGGGTTAGAAAGATTCTGACCTCCTCTAGATGCAGTAGAGTCCTTAGGCCCACTGTTTCCACCACCACTGTTTCCTCCACCACTATTTGCAGCATTGTTCTTATTGAGATTCACCCGACAATCACGCTTAACATGACCCGTCTTTTGACATCTCCAACAAACCAGATCCTTAGGATTCATATTTGGTTTGTCTCGGCTATCATTCTTGCGTTTGATGCCTTTTTCCTTGTGATTTTGATTGTTTTTGTTTACTTCAACCATGTGGACAGTAGGCTGTCCAACATCAGGCTTTGCCTTATTTTTGTCACCTTCTTGAATGCGGAGTGATTCCTCAATCTGTATGTGACTACCGAGTTGTAACAGAGACAACTCTTCATTCCCATGTTTCGGATCACGCTTGTAATCCTTCCATGTTGGTGGTAATTTTTCAATTATCATCGCTACTGCGACGCACTCATCCATCTTCATATTATGTTGAGTGAGTTGGCCCAGAATGCGAAGAATTTCATTGTATTGTTCCATAACAGGCCTTGAGTCCATCATCTTATAGTGATAAAAATCACTAACAAGGAACTTCTTACTAGAAGCATCCTCAGCCATATACTTGGACTCAAGTGAATTCCACAATTCCTTCGCACTCTCCACGTTTTGGTAAATATCAAATAAAGTATCAGACATACCGTTTAGAATATGGCCCCTGCAGATGTAGTCATCGTTTTCCCACTTGGAACGACGCCTTGACTGCTCAATAGTTTCATCTTCGTGATACGCTGGCATAGGCGTACTCAGAACGTAAACCACCTTCAGTGTGGTCAACAGAAAGTGCATCTTCTTTTGCCAGCGACGGAAATCAACTCCTTGGAATTTCTCCAACTTGTCGAATTTGGAAGTCATCTCTTTTACAGATTCAGCCATGATTTTCCGAAACAAGAAAAAATATTAGATTCGATTGTTAAATCTGGGGAGTTGGGAAACTGTTTTAGAAAATCTGGCGGATTTCTCAGAGTATCGTGTGATCACTTTCCGAATCTAATATTTCGACCCTATGCCTGGGTTACACGAAATTTAGATTATGGGGATAATCACTCTGAGAGACAGTCTAAAACTGAGGCACCAATATATAGACCACGAACTAGCAGTTTTAGTAGAACTCGAATTCTTCTGATTACCAAAGAGATAAGGCCAATCGGTTAGAGTTTTACTCTAACAGAAAGTCATTCTATTAAATAATTAATATGGACATGTTTATCCGAAAATAAATTTCCATAATTAACAGCGAGACCCCCGCCAGGGGCGCTGCCCCTTGGACCCCGCAAGGGGGCGCAGCCCCCTTGACCCCCGCCATTTAATCGAACCAAGTTTAAATTTAATTTCGTACAAGTGTGCGCTCCGCACCTCCTAACTTGTCTAAAATTAAACTTGAACTCCATTGGTAATCTGTAAATTCCATTACACTAAAATGAACCTGGTGATACTAAAATCACCAACAAAGATGTGACGGGGAAAGTGGCAGCTAGCGACACTAAATATAGTGCCACTGATTGTAAAACATAATAGTGTCAGTAAATTGTGACACATTAATGTGATTCAATATTATGACTAGGGATAGACTAAACCGGCCCGACCCGGCCCGGAACCGACCCGACGCGGCCCGGAACCGGCTTAACCCGCTACTGTGCAGGCCCGGACCGGGACTGGTTGGCCGATTCCGGGCTTTTAGCCTGTTTGGGCGGGCCGGGCTCGGGCCCAGGTTTGGGCGAACCGGTCCGGGCGGTTCGGGCCGGGCCCGGGTCAATTTTTTTTTCAATTTTTTTTCCTAGGGTAGGGCTGGGTGTTTTGGGGAGGTTTGGGGGTGGGGGTGAGGGGGGGGGGGGGGGGTCGGGGGATAACAAGAAAGCAAAAAAAAATAGACATTGAACCGAGCCCGGCCCGGCCCGGTTAGGCCCAGACCTGGTATCAACCCGGGCCGGTTCCGGGCCCAAGGATTTGCAAAAAAAAACCCGCCCGGGCCCGGCCCGGAACCGGAACTGGACCGGCCTGGGTCCATCCCTAATTATGAGTTTATGACACATTGGTATCATAAGAATTTGTGACACTTTGGTATCATAACAAATACTATCCTCTGTTCCATAAAAATTGCAACAGTTTGACTTTCACGTTTACCAACGCGCAACTTTGACTGTAATTATATTTATTTACGTATTAGTAAACATTAAAAAAAGTTAATATATTGGAAATTTACATTAATACAAATTTATTAATATTTTATACATAATATTTTTATTATATATATTATTACAAAATCGTAGTCAAAGTAAGATGTGTGAATAGTGCAGAAATTCCAATGTTGCAACTTTTATGGAACGGAGGAAGTACGACACATTGGTGTCATAAATATGATAATGATAATATAATAATCATTATATTATTTTTTATTGATTGTATGACGATTATAGAAATACTAATAAATAAGCTTATAAAACAAGAAGATTGTATTTATTACTCAAATTATTTTACAATGTCAATATCAATAAAGTGTATTACAATATGCTATAGATCTACACTTCTACATTTTAACCATCTTCTCCAGGCTTAACAGCCTCATCATGTTCAGTAGTTACTTCTGAAGAAGCTTCACCATTAGCAGTAGCAACTGCTGCTTCTTTACTTCCAGCCACTTGCTGCTTCACAATTCCAACCTTGACATATTTGCTCATAAACTTGTACTCCCAATCTTGTAGAGCCTCAAACTCAAATGGGCCAAGCACAGAGATGTCGCCCGTAAGATCTTTCTCCTCTAACGACATCTTAGCAAGTGCTCTACTCGCATCCTTCCCAGCAAGCAAAGCATATGGTCCTCCTGGTCCATAAAACATTCTGCAATAACACCCAGAAATCAGAAAAAAAATGCACAAGAAGAAAAGTCACATAAATACTCAATGGCTCGATGCAATAGAATTCAGGATTGGGTTGGGGTCATTTAGCTAGATACTATCCACTTGAGTCATATCACACAAAAAAGTTAAATTTAATTTACTAGCTAGTCCAAATGCAGGTTTTATTAAGTAACCAGACAATCTTTAATATCCCAACATTGGAATGTAACAGAAATAATAACACTCATATTAGAGCTTGAAAAACACTATTGCAGAATCTTAACAGCAATATTTTCAGCAACATAAAGATTTTCCATAATTTTAATTACACCTAGTACTGTAAATTCTAATGTTGAAATTTCTAAGACAGAATATTTCCAATAAAATTTGATAATTGCAAGATGTTTATATTCCCATGATACTAAATCACGAAACAGAGAATAAACTTGACAGCTGAATAACCCAATACACAAAATAATCAAAATAAGCATCTTTTGCCTTTATTTAAGAAAATACAAGAGACTAAACTATTTCACCAAAATAACCATGACCGAACGGGCTCCAAAAGACTTATAATATTACCACAGTAAAACAGATTCCTGGATGAGAAAAGGACCAAAAGTTTTATCAACGCAAAAAGAAGTAAAGGAAAAGGTAAACTTTTACTAAAAAAGAAATCAGACATCTAATTCATGCAAGTACATGAATTAATATTTAACTTTTACTAAAATGTAGTTTTATACTAATAAGGTAACTCAGGATCAGACAACTTGATATCCTTTGAAGTGTTTTCCCTGACGGATCCATTTTGTAACGTTATGAACGAATACGGAAGATCCGCTCTCCTGTGAATTGTGCAGATACGATTACATAAACATTCACCAAATAACAACCAGATAGTGCACATTAACAAAAATGAGAAGTGAAAAAGTATTAGCATGCAAAGAAGTTTACAGGCCAAAAAATTTAAATGCCCAGAAGAACAAGTTACAAGCAATACACACATGTTTCAAGACAAATCTTACTCGGGGGTCAATGATCTAGCAGCTTGCTAACAAAAGGAAATACCTGAAGTTGTTAGCATAGATGCATTTTTATACATATCTAAAGATATGAAAATACGCTCTTGAGAAACTTCATGAGTTGTAGAGTAGTTGCCTGATGAATTGTTATAGATTGACATATTTACATTTTAATGAAGGATAGGTTCCAAACCTGGGAATAATAATCTAGAAGAAAATAGGAATTGAAACATAGGAATCCACTCTCTGTGGAAATTCAAATTAAAAGATTTAATGACAAAATGAAACATAGAAGAGTCCATGTCAAGGCCTCAAGGGTATAGTTAGTAAATGCATTATTACAGACATATCTTGATCAGAATTTGTGATATACCCTGCAGTTTCAATTGGAGGAGACTGCCAACAGAATCTGTGATATATACCTTGTAGTTCTAATGGAGGTTAACTAGTCATAGAGATTTCAATACTCCATGTACGAAATGTAACATCAAATTAACCTTAGAACAAGAAATTGGTAGTAATATAAAAAGTACTTTTAGTCTCAAATGTTGCAAATGATTAGAAATAAAGTTCGAAACTAACCATTGACACATTACAAAAATACTATACATACAAACACAAAAATAAACTAACCTAACAATCTTTTTTCCCATGTAATTTATCTCAATGAATACACGTAATTTATCTCAAAACCAACTTGAAGAACAACAAAATTGAAAAGCTACAACTATAGGATAACACATAACTCGAAATGCATAAATTGAGTAGCATATGTTATTTTACAATCGATTTAGGAGTTTATACTAACACCTCAAAATATTACTCACTAACTGTAATTATGCCAGGTATGAAAAGTAATAAATAAATTTAAGAAGTCAGGAAAACTAGGCAGAGTACCTCTTAGGTTTTTTCAAAAACACCTTGAAGGCATCACTGCTCTAGCAAAATAGGGGAAGTCGCCATGAAATTACTTCTGAAATTTCTTGAGAGTCGAATCACACGTTTAGTGAAGAGAGGACTTACCAGTACAAGTTGTAGTCGAGCCTTGGTGCAGTCGTGTTAGCTATGATATGAAGTAGACTTCTTAATCGTTCAAACTCTAAGAACAAGTCATTGCATCTACTTAAAATAAAGAAAAATCGACTGTCAAAACATGGGTGGCCCGCCTACAACCTCTTGTGCCGCCGAAGCAAGCTGACCATCTCAACCCCTCCTGTTTTTCTAAGGTGTCGAGTCGCTGCGAGGGCCATATCTCATCGACGTTTACATCACATAATCGGCTCTGCTCAACGAAGGAAGAAAGGTCATCAAAATCGGTTGCACCCGAACCCTAGACAGCTAGTAGAAATTTGGAAGAGAATGGCTCGATTGGATGAAGGTCTGCATGAAGAAGGCGTTGGGCTTAAACTTCAATGAGAATCGCTTAACCAGCTAGGGTTCTGAGAAGAGCAATGTCGAAAGTGAAGAGGATGAGATGTGGAACATTAGGGCGAAACTTATATATTAAATTTTCTGATGTAGGAAATTAGGGCGAACATTAGGGCGAAACAGATGTAGTAGTATAAAAATCATTGATATATAAGTGTCACAGATTATCTGATAACATAGATAGTATCGCTAGACAAGTGTCACTGTAAGCTACTTTTCTAGTAGTGCTTTATAGATGATTTTTCTAGATACACTAAAGTTTATTTGCTTAAAAATAAAGACGAGGATTTTGATAAATTTTTAGTGTATAAATCCGAGGTAGAAAATCAATTAAACAAAAAGATTAGGAGAGTGGTAGTCCCAATATCACCCAACAATCATACAAACAATAGAGTACAGAATAAACAAATATCCGATTCAATACCAACAAAGATGTCGAAATACAGAATAGGGTATGAACGGCGTTTTTCTCCGTTCTCACTAAAAATGATATGTGCGTTGAGACTTGTGAGAGTTAGGGTTTGCTTAAGTTAGCATCCTTATATACATAAGGATGTCTAACTTAAGGCTTACAAGTGGGCTAATGGGCTGAAATACATTTGTGGCTCATATTACACATTTAATCAATAACTACATAAATACAAATATATTTAATTAGATTGGACACCATAAAATATTCCCAACAATCTCCCCCTTGGTGTTCAATCATGTTCAATCAGCATTGCAGCGCGGATATCTTTCTCTTTGTGTTTATTCAGCAATGTAGAGGTGAGCATAGATAAAATCTGTTGAGTTGCTCCACTTTTGTCTTGATCTTCAGTGGAACTCAGCTTCCTTTGTCTTCGTGTCGAACTCGACTTCTTTAGAGGGCTTTCTGAAGAAATCCTAGCAATCTCCCCTTTGATGTCTTCTTGGCAATTTGATCTTAGATGCCGGGGTTGAGGAATCTTCAGTGTCTTACATGTAGTCGTTGCCTTCCAGAAGTTGGTCTTGATCAGCTTGGATTAAATCTGGTGGCGCCTCTAGAATGAATGTTCTTGAAGAATTGAAGATGCACATGGGATTCTAATTACCTGACCTCTGTCTCCTTCACAATGTAGTCTTTTTGACTATTTGAGGTGAATTCTTTTGAGGAGAACCACTCGGTTGCACAGCGAAAAATGATGATTGACTTGTGAGCGTAACTGACCATTTGATGTGAAGCTGACTTGGCAGTTTTGATGATTTTAGAGAGTAGAGAGTCGTCGTTTTTTGTGTTGGAGGAGAAGTATCCGAGAATGATTTTTGAGAGTAAACCGCATGCGGACCACTCTCCCCCTCACGACGATCCGATGAATTGGGACGTCATGCCTTTATTCTTTTATTCTGTGAAACAAAATAGAAAAAACAAAAAGGTAAACACCGGAGATACCATGGTGTTCCGTTATCACAACATCAATATACACACTGACATGTGGCCTGTATAAAAATGATAGAAGCATTAAAGTTCTAACAGGACTTCCAACCAGTCATTGTGAGGCATCTAAAGTAGATGTCACTCTGGTTGTTATGGCATGATCATAACGATCAGCAAAGATAACGTAGCCCCCCGGGGTCATGTTGACGCCCATTATCATCACTATAGAGATAAACTCTGAAGCGATGGCCTGAACATGTTGGTGAATTCTGTGTTGCAACAGCAGGACTTCCTTCCAATCATTGGTCTTCATCTATAGTAGATGATCCCTATGGAAGTTCTCGCGGGTCATGAAGACCTGCAACTGACTCTAAAAAGTGTCTATGTCCTAGAAAATTCAAAACATTTGGGAGTGAGATTACTAGACACGACGTGATCAATGAATGTTCAGTGGCGTGGGGCAGTGGGCCACTGTAGTCAGTATCAGTCGCCTCAGAAGGAGACGGTGATTAGAGATGAGGTTCCCTGTGAAATATGATTAAACACATGTCTGTTGGGAGACAAATGAGTGGTCTTAGGTAGGGTTGTGCATGCGCCGTTTGGACAAAATGCAGCGACTTCTACCCGGGATCTGAATAAATTCAGTCCTGAACCTATGGGGATTGTCTAGAGTATTTGAGTGAATGTGAGTAATTTTCTAAATTGATAGCACAATAGAGGTAGCAGATTTGACAGTGATTATTATTCTCTTGCTCACTTGAGCTTTCTGCTTCCTCACTCTCATAGTGATCACTCAGCTACTCACTCACTCTCGGCATTGTCCCTTGGGTAGGCTTAGTTGGGTTTACTAAGCCATTGGGACTTATCTCTCATTTCTCTTTGCTCTTTTCTCTCCGTGCTCCCCCTCAACTAGAGCATTCAGTAGGATGCCTTTCATGATGATTGGCACTTGGGAGGAGAACTTTGAAAACTCCCCCTTAAAATCCGCATCCTTGAGAGAGTCCTTGCATTTTACATTGTCTAACACCAGGAGAAGAAAAATGAAACTCCTCCTCAAAAGTTGCAAGTTGTGTTGTTTCTACCAGGGGAGTAAAGTAGAAAACTCCCCCTTGGAATGTGCTTTCTTCGTTGTTTGGCTCCAGGAGGAGTGAAAAAGAAACACTCCCCCTCAGAATAAGCAGTTGTTTGTTCTTGGCACGTGTTGGTGTTGGGGTGTGCATTTGATGATGTTCAGCTCAGTGGAGAGTATACATGCCAATACTCTCCTTCAGAATGTGCACTAATTGATTGCTCACAGCTCGTCTTCATACCCGCCATGTGTGTGGAGCAATCGGGTCAGTTACCACACATGACGGACCATCAACACATATTAAGTATGTGTCGGTACCAACCTCCAGATGGGTCTGTAAGGAATAAATGTATTTAGATTTTGATGATGCTAGGTTAATTAGAATTTGAAAGTACCCCATTAGAAATTATGTATTAGAATTTCTTTTGTAAGTTTTAGCTTAGTCTGCCTGCCAGAGTTCCATATTGCCTCTACCAGAGTTGCTCC